CTGAAGAGGTGGAGGGGGCAGGGGAGGATGGGGAGATGAGGGGGATCCTGAAGAGGTGGAGGGGCAGGGGAGGATGGGGAGATGAGAGGGATCCTGAAGAGGTGGAGGGCGCAGGGGAGGAAGGGGAGATGAGGGGGGATCCTGAAGAGGTGAGGGGCAGGGAGGAAGGGGAGATGAGGGGGGATCCTGAAGAGGTGGAGGGGGCAGGGAGGAAGGGGAGATGAGGGGGATCCTGAAGAGGTGGAGGGGGCAGGGGAGGAGGGGAGATGAGGGGGATCCTGAAGAGGTGGAGGGGGCAGGGGAGGATGGGGAGATGAGGGGGATCCTGAAGAGGTGGAGGGGGGCAGGGGAGGAAGGGGAGATGAGGGGGATCCTGAAGAGGTGGAGGGGGCAGGGGAGGAAGGGGAGATGAGGGGGGATCCTGAAGAGGTGGAGGGGGCAGGGGAGAAGGGAGATGAGGGGGATCTGAGAGGTGGAGGGGAGGGGAGGAAGGGGAGAGGGGGGATCCTGAAGAGGTGGAGGGCGCAGGGGAGGAAGGGGAGATGAGGGGGGATCCTGAAGAGGTGGAGGGGGCAGGGGAGGAAGGGGAGATGAGGGGGGATACTGAAGAGGTGGAGGGGGCAGGGGAGGATGGGGAATGAGGGGGGATCCTGAAGAGGTGGAGGGGGCAGGGGAGGAAGGGGAGATGAGGGGGATCCTGAAGAGGTGGAGGGGGCAGGGGAGGATGGGGAGATGAGGGGGATCCTGAAGAGGTGGAGGGGGCAGGGGAGGAGGGGGAGATGAGGGGGGATCCTGAAGAGGTGGAGGGGGCAGGGGATCGAGAGGGGGGCACAGCGAGTGGGAGGGCTGAGGTTGCTGTGGCGAAGCCTGGGCATTGCACCTGTCTTCTCCACAATCTGACCCTGAGGACACCCCCACCTGGACCCCATGGACAGCTGGGACCACGGGAGACCGAGTGAACATATGGGTGACTGCGAGCACAGGCGAAGGTTTTGTAGACAATCTCAACTTCAGATAGCCTACTCTGGAGCATCCCGACTTGTGGTTGACAGGGACCCTGTCTCCCCACACCCACCTTCTTCCTCCATAACCATCGGGTGGGTCATTCCCAGTCCCCCTCCTTGGGAGGCATCAGGACAGGCCTGAAGGAACTGGGGGGGACCACGTTCGCCATCAGACACAGGACGGAGAGGCCACAGAACACCAAGTTCAAGGCACAGGTTCCTGAGTCAGGGGGCTCAGGTTCAGATCCCGCCTGTCTTCTACCGGCCGTGTGATCTCAGGCGAATTCCCTGGCCACCCTGTACCTCGGTTTCCTGGGCAGCAACGGAGATGCTGACAGCACCTGCCTGGGCAGGGTGCCGTGAGGGTTACGTTAGCACATAAACACACAGGACAGAGCCTGGATCATGGCATGGGCCGCACGGAGTGCTGGTCATCGTGGGCTTACCAGCTGCTAACGGCGGATTCGTGGAATCCCGCAATCTTTGCTCTCAGCATCTCTAGGTGGGGTTAACCCAGGGATGAGGAGATACCGCCTGCTTGGGGAAAGGTGGAATGTGCACCTTTGGATGTCTTGGGTCTCTCCTCATTCATTATTTACTCAGGGATATTAACACCTCGTTTCACAGATGAGAAGGCAGAGGTCCAGAGAATGTGAGGGGCCTGACCAATCTTTGCAGAACGAGGGAGGGGAAGGAGGTTGGCGGGGAAGACCCAGCTCTGGGCTCTGCACGCCCTGCTGTTTGTTTCCGTCTGCTTCCCCGCATCAGTGTGCCCGTGAGTCCTTCTCCTCCACACTGTCTGCTTAATTATTCCAGCGGTTTCACTTGATTTGGGTTTTGAGATGATCTGGATAATCAGGGGAAGTCATTTCAACATGAGGTATCAGACGGTTAATAGTTCTTCAGGTGCTTTTGCAATTCATGCACATAGATGGCTATTTTTTAGACTATGGATGCAGTGAAAAAAACCTGGTGCCGGCATCTGCTCTTCCTCTTTTTTTGTTGGTGGGGGTGGTGGTAAGGGGAGTCTGGCACAAGCATAGGATGTGGTTGTAAGTGCGTCACAGGACCAGTCATGGAGGCAGGGAGACTGTCCTTGTATGCATGCTCTGAAGGCCCGAGTCAGGTGGCAGCATCAGGGTGGCACCGAGGGAGCCCCTGTGCGAGGTCCTAGGCTCAGTAAAAGCTGAATGGACTTCCTCTCCCACTTAGGTTGCACCTTTTTTCCTGTCATTTTGAGTCCCATAGACGTTCCATTTGCAGCTGCAGGCATGCAAAGGAAACAGGCTAGCTCAGAGGTTACAAAGTAACTCCTGTAGCGTTGATCTTGACAGAACCCTAGCTGACCAAAGGAAACTTTCAGCAGCCAGAGGATCCTCTTCAATAGTAAAATCAGATCACGTTTGTGCTTGGCCCAAGATGCTGTGATGGTTCCTGAGTTCTTCCAAAGCCTGAGGCCCGCAGTGACCCAGCCTCACCCTCCTCTCTGCGCTCCGCTCCCCCTGCTCCGTGGGCTCCATCACATTGATGGTCCTGCAGACCCCCGGCCCCGCAGGCCCGTCCTTCCCTCGGGCACTGGCACAGGGGTTCCCTCTCCATGGCGAGGTCTCACCTCCTGCAATTCTCAGACCTCATCTTCTGCACAAACACCCTTTAGCTCTGCAGCCCACAGCACTCCCAAACCCCTGGCTCTACTTTTTCTTTTTCTTTTTTTTTTTCAGGACTGCCAAACTCCACTTTTTCTTCTCTCCGTAACAGCGATCAGTTTCTAACCTACGATGTTATTTGCTTCTTCAGGATGTTCGTCTTCTCTCCATTAGGATGGGAGTTGCAGGGAGGCAGCAGCCTTGTCTGTTTTGCTCTCGGATGAACCCCCAGTGCCTGGCACTCAGAGGTACTCAACAAATATTTGCTGACTGAGAAACGTGCCAAAGTACTAGTACAGCGTCAGCCTCAAGGGAGACTTTGTTTGCCTGGGAAATAAATGGCTTCCCGTTGGAAGACTTCTTTCTCTCTCCACAGTAGAGGTCGCGTCTCTCCTGCTGTCAGGGCACCTCCGCCCTTGGACCCGAGTGTGGTTTTGTGCCTTTCCCTGGGACTCGGGCGAGGCTGAAGTGCTGAGCCCTGGGCCGCGGTGCTTGTCACAGCTCTTGGGCACAGTTTGGGGCCACAAGTGGAGATCTCACCCCGCCTGCTCAGGGAGAGGGTGTGGAGTTCGCCTTCCCGGCTGTCACTCCCACTACCCCTGGGCTTCGTTGGCAGCAGGGGCCCTGGTGTCTCCAAAGCGGGGGGCTTGAGTAGGGGGCATCCTGCAACACAGCAGGATGGAGGGACCTGAGCTGTGGACGCCGCTTGGGCCTTTGGACCCCCCCACAGCTCGGTAGCCCAGCAGGAGGGGTGAGACTCGGGTCTTTGCTGGCCTTGCTCTCCGGAGCTCGGTGGAAGAGACGGTGAAGGTCAGGTGAAACCTGGGGATTCACTTATCCCTCCGATCTCTAACCCCATTTCTGAAAAGAAGTGAGGCGGCTATAAAATAGGACTCACCAAGGAAGATAAAAGGGATGATGTGTTTCATAAAAAAGAGGGAAGACTTTTGAGTCTTGCCCACCAACTCCTGTTGCGTCCATGACCTCATCTCCAAGGACCTAAGCTTTCTTTAATAGCCCATAATTACTGAATCACCCCAGCTCTGCCGTTTGTTCTCGGCTTTCAGTGCCAGGTAAACACGTTGTTTACGAAGGAGATAGCCTAAATTTGTGGAGGAACCGAAACAACTTGAGAACTTCTTAATACTGGCTTACAGTTAAAACGGTATGAAGGAGGGGAAAAAAGTGTGAGATACTAGAAAATGGTTTCCTTCCCAAGGTCTGCTTGATTAGAAACTCAAACTTAAAAACTGAAATTTCGCCTTGGCCTATGTGGCTCAGTGGGTTGAGCGTGTCCTGTGCGCCAAAAGGTCGCCAGTTCAATTCCTAGTCAGGGCGCAAGCCCAGGTTGTGGGTTTGATCTCAGGTCAGGTTGTGTGGGGAGGCAGCTGATCGATGTCTCTCTCACATCAATGTTTCTCTCTCTCTCTCCTTTTCCCTTCCTCTCTTTAAAATCAACAGAATATATATATATATATATATATATATATATATACACTCACACACACACACACATATATATACACACACATATATATGTATACACACACACATATGTATGTGTGTGTGTGTATTTTTTCTAATTGAAATTTCAAACTAATTGAGTCTTAGTTTCTCAATCAATGTGGTTCCCAGGCCAGCAGAGTCTCAGCCAGCACGTGGGCTGCTGGTGAGCCTCAGTGTGACTTGAACGCTCACCAATGCTCCTGATCACTGGGGTGAGTGTGGAAACCATTCCTGCTGCCCCGGATGCGTGAGACTCCTGGGCCGTGTGCTGCAGGCAGGAGCGAGGCGGCTGAGCTGAGGACACCCTCAGGCAGGGGTGGGCCAGAGCAAAGAACACCGAGCGGGAAAGTGGTTGAGCCCAGTGTCAGGTCAGCTGGCTCTCAGAAAGAGGCATGTGGACGGGCGTGGGGAGCTCGGTCTCATGAGACATACAAGGGAACTCAGCAGGGGGCTGGCCAAGCCACGCGCCATGACCGTGAAGGCAGGCTGATCTCTCGAGTATGTCATGAAAACTTCCAAAACCAAAAAGACAACGAGGTTGAGGACCACCCCCTCACCTTTTATGAACAGAAACTGTCAACACAGGGAGAACATTATGAGAAGGAATCGATTTTAAACCCTGAATGTATCTTAAAGCTGGAATGTGATGCAAAGATTTCGGCTGAAAAGTCACTGGATATGAAAGGACATTACAAACATGAAAAACAAACAAAAAAAGATACCAGGCATGAAACAAAAATCAGAAAACAACAACAACAACAAAAAGACAAGAAGAAATAGGCGTTTGGATTAAAAACAAAACAAAGGAACAAAGAAACCCCATTTCAATCCCTGGAGCAAATACCTTGTAGCGAGGCTTTCAGGTCTTTCATATTTTGGTCCAAAAGCTGCGAGGGAAGGAACCCCGAGCCCGGCTGGGGCTTGAGGTCTGGCTCCGCCGGGGCCGCGGCGGGCGCTGGCTCCTTCCGCTGACTGTCTCCGAACACGGCCGCCCACTCCTTGCTGAACTCGCTCTCTTCCAGGGAGGACGCACTGAAGATCTCACTGAGCAGCAGCAGGTCATCTCTGTCAGCACCTTCTGGTTCCGCGTTCCCAGCCATCGGGCCCAGGGAAGCTGATCGAAGGAACAGAGCACAGAACAATCACCGCCAAAGGCCGGAGCCCTGGCCAATGAATGAGTGGGGGTGGGGATGGGCAGATTGAAGAAAATGTCAATCAAAATATAAATTAATCGCATTATAGCGTCCCCTAAGAAATTTCAAAATTAAATGTGTAGTCCCATGCTCCCGCATCCCCGTTCCTTCAAAGCAAGTCAAGTTTCTGAGCATCATTAGAACTGCATTGAAATAGCTTCCACAAAAAGTCTAGGGTTTGGGTTTTACCTTCATATAACAAGCAAATTTACCAACAAAACATTTCTCAGAAATGCAACAAAGCCAGGATGGAAGGCGTGTAGTACGCATCTTAATTCCTTGTTTGTACAGCTTCCTGAATCTTCCCCCACGAGCCCGAAACCCACAGTCGTCATGGCTCATGGCAGCCTGCCTGCCTTCCAGGAGTGGACAGGGAAGGAGAGGGGGGTGACGGATGTCAGAAAGTCCAACAATGACCAAGAAAGGTATCCTTGCTGCCTTTCTCCTTTGCTGCAACCCAACGGCATAAAGCAAAAGGAGCTGGGTCTGGTTTACCCGAGGGCCGTGGTGAAAGGTTGACAGGAAAACGGCAGATCGTGGAACCAGCTAGAGAATGAGGGTGTAGCCAGAGACACAGCCCTGGAGGGCTGGAATGAGCACAGGACCCGAGGGGGAGCCCCTGGGCCACCTTTACCTGCTGTGTGACTGTAGCAACACCCTTATAACCTCTCTGGGCCTGTATTTGCATCTATAAAATTATAATATTAATAATGCCTGCCTTGGAATATTGTCAGGAAGACCAAAAAGAAATACACCTTCAACTTCACTCCAGAAGGCAGAGAGCCATTCTTATAACATAAATGAACACGGACAAAAGACTGAATAGTGAATACAGGTGAATGGGCGCATTGCCATTAGAAATCCTACAACAAGACCTTCCACGGAGTGTTGTATATATTTTGAAAACCAAGGACTGATGCTTTTCTCAAGTGTGGCTTTTTCTGCGGTAGCTGACTGCCACCTAAAAACTGCAAGCATTTTTGCTGTGAGTCATGAAAAGAAGGAACAATCGCAATGTATATTTTCTCTGAGCTACACTGCAATTCTGATACTGTCCTATTCAGCGAGTTTAACAGGTTCCCACAAATATATGAGATAATTACTAAGGGAAGGCTTTAAAAATAAAAATAAAGCTTATCTCTGTCGGCTTTACTGGATCTATTTCAGTCGCAGTTTCTATAAAGATCTACAGATTGAGGGGATTTTTGATGTGCCGAGCAGACTGGCTCTATAAATCAGGCAGGGGGGAGTCCAACCATTCTCATAGCACTGTGGTTTATAGATAGTGGCAAAATATCACTTTAGTTGAACCAGTGTCTAATTTAAGCATTCTTACTGTGTTATCACAGAAATCTGCACCGAGATGTAGCCTGCAGGTATGGTGGCGAGAGAGAAGTTGGGGAAAATGGCATTCTATTAAAAAGGCTTCCGAGACAGTTCTGTGGCACAGGGCGATGCGGGAACCGGGGCGTGTGCGTGGTGGGAAAGGCAGGCAGGAAGGACAGACAGCCTGTCTCTGGGAGGAGAGGAAGGAGCCTGGTGTGACGGGTGTGTCCGTTAACAAGCATCTTTGCATCCTCTCTCGGCATCACCCTTTTTACATATAATTTCACAAACATCTGTACTTCCTACTTTCAGTTGGGACCGAAATGTCCAAACCTGTTCGCACGGTTTACTTTCTGCCTGCCTGAAACCAGACAATCGCTGAAGCAAACCCGTTTCAGTGGAACCCATTCAAATCGACGTGTAGACCCTGGAGGAACAGGTGACTTTAAATGAACACTGGGAAGGATGGGTGTTCCTCCTGCAGTCACCTGACAGCCCTCTGCTAAGTCAGACCCTGGGGGAGCCGTCGCTTTCATCTAGACATCAATCCAGGGCAGATCACCACGAGCAGTAGCAATAAATAATAAACTCCGAGCCTTCCAAAAATAACCGCAGGCTAGAAAAGCTCCACCTCTGTTTTTACTGCGTAGGTTTGGAGCGATGGGTGGTATCTGGAGAGGACTTCTATGAGTCTGGATAACTTAGCACCCTTTTCTTCCTTTTCTTGTTTTCCCCTTGGGGAAACACCTTCTCCGTGTGACCCTAGTGAGACACTACTTAAGATGCCTCCTCTCGCCTCATCCCAGGGGGCTGTGCGACACAGGCTGGCCAGAGTCCTCCATTTCTCAGGCCATGGTGACCAACTCGGGGTGGGCACATGCCACAGGCTTCCCTGAGTTTGTATATGGAAGCTGGAGGGAAGAGGTTTTCTCTTTCTTTGGGCTCCCGGGTCCTAATGATGTAGTTTTGAGGCCCCCAGTGAGGATGGAGCCGAGCGAAGAGAGAAATAGCCTCAAAGGTTGGAGCGAGAATCCTGATGACACTGCCTGAGCCCCTGGATCCCGCCTGGCTTGAAGCCCACCCACCACTGCGCGTCTCCAGCTACATGGACTAATACCCACTACATTTTTCTTTTCTTTTTCATTTCAAAGCTAAACCATTTAGAGAAGGCTTCTATTGCTTCTAACCAAAAGATTCCTGACTCATATTGTATCCTGTCAAAGTCGCACTTAGTGACAGAAATGAGAAAAGGGGCCATGGTGAGGATGACCTTGTCTAGGACGAGTTCAAAATCAAGTCTGAGGTCTACCACTGGATTACTGTTACTCAGTGTCCTGGTTGCTCTAACAGTTGAAGCAGACTGCACAGGGGACATTTTCTCTTCTAAGAGAACGTACTACTTAGCTAAGAGCAATGAAACTGGCACTGACTTGAACCAGAAAACAGGGAAACCTCCCAACTATTGCCCTGATAATTAAGATGCTTGAGATTACTGTGCATAACTTGTAAGAAAAACGTAATTACAAGCCGAAAAGGACAGGTTTAGGGCTGTCACCAGACAAGTCGAGACTTGAAAAATAACACTAGTCAGTTGGCTCTTAAGAATCATGCTCTCCTTTTCATGGGAAGGAATTCAACGCAACTGTGAGAACAGGGGCACACACGGCGCTATGATAAGCTCTCTGAGAAGCCCCAGGGAGAGCGGGCCACTGAAGTCACAGCTGCTCCCAGCGTAGACGAGAAACCACTGCTCCCGAGTAGGGCATCCTGCCCTGCTCGCCTTCAAGGATGTACAAAGGTTGTCGAGCTCTGGGGTGTCAAACCCACAGATGCTACTCCAAGCCCCCTTGTGCTCTTGAATGTTCTCAAGTCTGCATGTTGCCTTTTGTATCAATAACCCAACCACAGACATGACTACGAAAGTAACGGCCGACAGATGATGTATTCAAATTCTCACCTTTCGGCCTCCCATTCTCTGACCCTTCATGCATTCCCCCTTCCTTTCCAAGGTCAGCCCTCTCTATGCTGCCCCCTCTCCTGCTCTGCCCCCACCGCTACAGTGCCTGTGGCCTTGCAGTCTCTAAGGCTTCTTCTCCCTGACCCCAAAAGACACATGCACCCCAACAACAGCCGATCTTCACTTGATACTGCCGTCTGCCTTGCACCCCTTCACGTTGCTGCTCAGGTTTTCCCTCTACAGCCATGCACTCTCTGCATCACTCTCTTTCTGGCTCCCTGTAATCAAGTTCCCATCCCCGCCACACACTGCCGGAGCCGAGGAGGTGACCTGCTGAAGGTGACCGGCGAGAGCCTGGAGGCCAGGTCCAACCTGCTCTTCTCGGGCCTGCCTCTGTAGCACTTTGCCCTGCGGCCCTCTGGGAAATGCTGCCGTGCCCCGGGAGTCCTCGGGAAGTGGCTCCTTCCATGTCCTCCTAGCTTCTTGACAGCCCTTTCCCTGTGGCATCTTCCTTCAGTTGTCCTCCTGAGCTACTGCGTCTCTCTTCCCTAGTTCTCCTCAGAGCAGCGGTTCTCCACCTGTGGGTCGTGACCCCTTTGGAGGTCAAACGACCCTTTCACAGGGGTCGCCTAAGGCATAACAGCAGCAAAATTACAGTTATGAAATAGCAAGAAAAATAATTTTATGGTTGGGGGTCACCACAACATGAGGAACTGTATTAAAGGGTTGTGGCATTGGGAAGGTTGAGAACCACTGCCTTAGAAGATCTCATTTATTATCATGGTTCCAATCTCATCTGGGAAGATTCCTAAATGTCCATCTGTAATTCCAAGTTTGTTTGGAACTCTGGAACCCTTCGGGGTTTGCCCACCAGTGAGCCAGCTGGCACTCCATAAAGGCACCTCCCGCTGTACACCTTTGCTCGGTTCAGCTGTGAGATGTTTACTCCCTCCCTCCAAACCTTCGATGGCTCCCTCTGACTACTGGGCAAAGTAACACGCCTTACAGTGGTAGCAGGGCCCCTTGGTCAAGCGCTAAGGCAGCCCTTTCATCAACACCGCCTTCAGGGAAGCCTACGATTTAGCAGAACTTCTCTGCCTGCCATTTCGAAAGCATCCCTCCTGCCTTGCTGTCCGGGAACCTGCTGCTTCTCCCAATGAGACGATGCCCAAGAGAAGAATCCCACTCAGAGGGATCTCAGAGGCCGTCTCCCCTAAGTCATTTCACACACGAGGAAAGAGACACTTGCCCAGGGTCATGTAATTGACTATTTCCAGATTCTCTGGCTGGAGACCCTTGGCTCCCAGGTTAAGATGTTTTCTCCAAACTGCTTTCACGTCGGAGCCTGCGAACACCCTCGTACCTAAGCTGGCATTTGAGCTCTGGTAGTTTCAAGGGTTTCTAAGGTCCGATGACTCCACTGGCCGCCCCGGAAAGCTCTCGGCTGCAGGCGCCACGGCAGAATGGCCGAGCTGGCAGGATGGCTCAGCCTGTCTGCCCCCCGCTGCCCCTGGGCAAACACTCCTTCGGAAAACTGACCCTGAACCAATGAGTTCTGACGGATTCTGCCCCAAGGAGTTTCCAAGTGTGAAAACTGGCACACAGAGGAAGCCCCCTCGAGTTCAGACAGAAAGCTAAGGGTGTGGGGAGTGGCGGCTGCCCCCTCAGGAAACATTTTTGAAATCATACCGAGTTTCATGACCTCAGCACAAATGAGGAACGCAGAGGACGGAAACATACCTACACAGACCCAAAACGAGAGCACAGGAAAGCAGATAAATGTCACCCGAGCCACCTTCATCTGTGTGTGAAACAGGAAGACTCTGTTGCTCTGGTTTTCTCCCCGGTCCCCACTCTGGACGTTATGACTAACTGCCAAGGCCGTGCCTGCAGCACACACGAAAACCCCGACACCCACCTCGCCTCCCACCGCCCGGTGGGGGCACAGCGGGCAAGAGGGGAGGAAATGACCTCACGAACATGTCTACAAGAAAAACAGTCTTCATCATAAGCAGCTCTGGTCACAAATTGTACTTGTTTGGAATTTAAGAATATTGCTTCTAAAAACTCCCTTCTGGCAAAAAAAAAAAAAAAAAAAGTCACAGATAATAAGAACATTTGGGGATGAACTCACTATCTTGGAAACACAGATAAACAAGCAAGCAAGCAAGCAGAAAGCAATCCCTCTCACCACCCCCCCCCCCAAAAAAAAACCCAACAGGGCTAGACCCTGAGCAGACCCACAGAAAAGACTTTTGGATGATCCCAGCCGGCTCTTAGCATTAGATCTAGCAAGCAGGCGATCTTTCTGGAAAACTGGACACCACGGGGGGGGGGGGGGGGTAAATCTCCACAGATCACTGCTGACTATATGGTGATCAAGTAAGAACAGCATTGGTTTCAAAAATACACCATTATTTTATAACAGTTCATCTGAGGACGCCGAGGGAGACAGGGAGAAGGGATTTATGAGAAAAGACAGCATAGCAGTTGCCACACTGCGTGTGAGGAAGGAATCGGACTCCTGGTCAGCTGTCGATGGAGAACTGCAGGAGAACCTTCTGAACGACTCAGGAGGACTGGGCCCCGAGCCACAAACACGTTACTGCTGTGGACGAAAGGGTCTCACCCAGACCTATGGGAGCGACTGGACAAGCTTCTCAGTCATTCTGATGTTTGGCCAGAAGTGAGAATCAGTTAAGTCTGGAAGCAGTAACCAAGGAAATTGCAGAAGACAAACATTTAAAGTATACCATGGACAATTAACATGAAAAAAAACTGGTTCAGGGAGCCCTGTCCTAGAGCGGGACGTTTTGGGCGAGGCCAGGTGGTGTGATTCAGGTGCGCTGGATCCAACTAACTCTCTCTTGCTTAAAGCACCACTTTCTGTTCAGGAATCCGATGCTTATTTTTCTTGGCCCAGCTTCGAACACAAAGACTTTTCTACCCGTTTCAACTTGTGAACGGAGGTGAGGACTGTTACATGGGGTCCCAAGGTGACGGCCCAGCCACTTTCAAGTATCTTGAAATGTCACTCCGTTTCTTTTGTTCAACTTCAAACCCTTTTCTAAGCTGGCCAAAGATGTGTTTTCCATAACATGATCTATTTGATGGAAGAAAACCCATTTCACTGACACCGAATCTGCGTGATTTCCCGGCCAGCGGCTCCTGGAGAATCACTCCCTTGCTGTTGTCAAAAGCAGTCTGCTTTCTGAGGACATTATTCCGCGGCGTCGCCATGACTGGTCACAGCTTCACCACTGGGCACCACTGGGCACCACTGGGGGTGAGCCGGCCCCCGGGGCGCAGGGTGCGAGACTTCACAGCCCAAGTCCTGCAAAGTCAGCCATCCCTGGACTAAGCTCCTTTCATTTCCTGATTGTTTAATGTCCTGCATTATATTATAATCATGTTTTAATGCAGGGTCTGGGCCTTCTGGCCGTTTTCCAAAGGGCGCACATTTTTAAGAGGAGTAATTAATGGAGTGTTCTTTCCTTCGGTCATCCCGGTTTTCCGTGCGCTGAGAGAATATTTTTATACTCATGGCCACATTAATTTTTAAGCTGACGCTACCCTCGGGTTTGCCAACGCAGAGGAGGTAGATAGGGGAAAAGCATGGCTTGTGCCTGAAGAAGGGCTCTGTGGGTTGGCAGAGATAAAGGGAAAGGGGAAATGATGTGACATTGCATTTAACCGAGAAAATTTGTGAATTGATTTTTCTGCCTCAGAGAAACATCCACATTTGGGGGATAGGGCACAGTCGTGGCTCTATCTTTAGAGTTAAACGGAGTGCTCCAAAAAAAAAAAAAAAAAGATATGAGCTGCTATCCTGTGAAACGAAGATTGTAACTATAAACCACGGAGATCAAAGTTGTTTTTAAAAAGAAAGATATCGTGTATCTTGGCACACGCTTTGGAGGACGCTTACGGAAGTCAGCACGCGTCTGAGGCAGCAGCATTTCTGATTTGATTCCGTGAAGAAATGCGTGGTTACTAGGTTAGTGCGCTACCATTACTAAGTCAAAGACGTCCAAATCCAAAACCAAAACCTTCTTCTGTAAGAAGAGAGAAATCTGAGCCTATGCACTCATGCTTGCTCTGTCTATGTAAAAACAATGCTGGAAAGAGACATGGGGGGAGAGGGGGGCAGGGTTCGAATATTGGAATATTGAGGAAAGTGTGGGGCAAGACTGGGAGTGAAGGTTTTTTGTTTTTTGTTTTTTTTTACTGTATACATTTTATTATCATTTTGTTTGTTTTTTTTTGTACCAATGTGAATATTCCACCTATTCAAAAATTGTTTTTCTTTTAAATAATGAAATGAAATAGGAGGTAATAAAATCCAAGATCAAATTACATACACAAAAGGTTGTGAACAGGAGAAATAACAACCTTCTTAGCAAAATAACTTCAAGCATATGCAGGATTATAAATACCTTTATTAAATGTTAAGATTTGCTAAAACTAGGTGATGGGCACCTAGGGCCTGTTTTAGCCTGTATCTTACCTTTGTAAGTCTGAAATATTTCCCCCTCCAATAAATAATTTATAAAAAAACAAACAAACAAACAGGAAATGTTATTCCATCAAAAGAGTCTACCCTTAAGCCAAGGAGGAAAAGTTCCCATGGAAATGGAGGCCACCTGCACCTGCATTAACTACTTGCTTATTCCTCTCCTAACCTGGTATGACTTCAATATTTATAAGTAAGGAGCCCTTCCGATAAAATGTTCATGGACAGTCGTAGCATGTTGCTCAGTATGTTGCCTGGAAAAGGAGGAAAGCAGGTTTGTGCCCTCGGGTTCATATTCCTAAGCCCTAGAAACATAATATTCGAGTTCCGCTGTCTTTTCATTTCTGAAAATAATCTGAACCAACGCACTCTGCTTTCTAGAGTCCTTCCTCTCACACCCTGTGAAGGGAATCCAAGTCAAGCTCGGAATGAGTCAAGAAGGCCCCTGGCTCTAGTTCACCGGAGTCCGGTAGGATGACCTTGGCTCAGTTCTAGCCCTGGGAGAGAATGAAAGGCTGAGGCAGAAGACACCGGCTACTCTAGGGCTGGTTCAGACTCCCAGGAGCATCTTGGACTCCTGGTAGGTCATTAGAAATCAACCCTGAGGAGGACGGAGAGCACATGTTATGGCCAAGTTGCACGCACTAGATTTCCTGCGATGACTTGAGACTGGGCATGTCTCACACAAATCCATGGTTCTGGCTTCTCTTTTGGATGGTTATTCAGTACATGATTTGGGGCTTGATAACCCTTCGTTCGGGCCCTCACCAGCAGACTTTCCGCATTTAACTAAGGTTCAACAGTGATGCAACCCTGCACACCATTAGAACAACAGGCCCAGTCCTACTATCTCGGCGGCTTACTGAGCCCATGACACACCCTTTACACACATCTCTAGTCCTGACAACAACCCAGCAGGACTCTTCCTATTGGTTCCATTTCACAAATGAGAACAACTGAGGTTGAGAGAGTTTAAGTACGAAGCAAATTACTTCAGTCATACGGATCATTTATGGTAGAACCAGGATTCGAACCCAGGCCTGTCTGAATCTGAAAGCCATGCTTTCTTTACTACAAAGGCAACCTTTGACATCGTAACTTGTAGTTTTAGTACTCTGGCATCGTGACATTAATTATACCAAGGATGACAGAGCCACACACACTAACATGTACTTGAGCATATTTAAATTCATTTTCAAAGACAAATGACAGTCACCTATGCAAAAGATAAACATTCCATTTTCCTGCATGTAGAACCGCTATTAAAAAAAAAAAATCAAACAATTAGGACCCCCAAGAAATGCATAAATCTTACCACCTTCCTCGGGTTTCATGTTTAACAGTTCATCTATCAGTCCATTAGAAAAGGGGAAAGAAAACAAAATCACGAGTTAGATTTACTTTGTAAGGGGTCTGAGGCAAATGATTAAATTGAGTCATTGTCTTTCATCTGGATTACCTGAGCATGCATTCTGTGTCGAGCTTTTGTCTAAGGCAGAGAAAACACCTTTTCCTTCTTCCGCTGTAAATACAATGTGCAGCCGGTTGTCACAAGTTGAGAATGGTGTGCGTGTTCACATGCGATCGCAGTGCAAGGGAATCACATGGCTTCAGAGGAGATGGCACCCACACACTCACTCATGCAGGAGGATCCTCAGAGTACCTTTCACTCGAGCTACTGGCTCGCAATGAATGCCGAGTTACCAGCCCTGCATCTTTGCTTTGTTTAGTAAAACACTGATCTAACGATGCTCCTTCCATGGACAAATGTGCAACTTAAGTGACTATTACTTGATGGTGCTAATGAACTTCAGCCATACGGGCCTGGCTAAAATAAAAGGGCAGATTGCTGAGCGAAAGAAGCCAATCTGTAAAGGCTACATATTGCACGATTCCAACTATACAATGTTCTGGAAAAGGCAAAACTACGAACACAGTAAAATGGTCAGTGGTTGCCAGGAGTTTGAGGGGAGGGAGAGATGAATAGGGGAAGTCACGAGGGATTTATAGGGCAGCAAAACTATTCTGTATGTCACTGTGATGGTGGATACATGTCATTATGCATTTGTCAAAACCCATAGAACATATAACACTAAGAATGAACCCTAATGTAAACTATGGAATTTGGGTGATAAGATGTGTTAACATTGGTTCATTAATTATAACAAATGTATCACTCTGGTCGGGGATGTTGATACTGGGGGAGGCTATGTACATGTGGACACAGGGTTATATGGGAAACATTTGTACCTTCTGCCCAATTTTGCTGGGAACCAAAAACTGCTCTAAATAATGGTGTGTGTGCGTGTGTGCGTGCGCACATGCGGGTGTGTATACATATATGCACACACAATAGAACAGTCTTAAAACTTGGTTTGCTCATATGAACATTAGACTTTCTGCAGGTCACAGAATAAGAATGGCACTTGGTTTTAATGGATTCCATTCTGTGTATATACAAAACATGGTGATCAACGTTTATAGTCTCAAAATATTATGCAAATGCTATAAGCAAGTAAATATACTTCACAAAGAAAAAGGAAATTTGATACTCTGTATTGTCACAAATTATATGAACATATGATTTCTACAGGTAGGCAACTTAAATATAAATAGAATAAACCGGAGTTTACATTTTCCCACAGAACTAAAATTTTGTTTGTTTGTTAATCCTCACTCGAGGATATTTTTACATTGATCTTTAGATAGAGTGGAAGGGAGGAAGCGAGAGAGAGGGAGAGAAACATCGATGTGAGAGAGACGCATCGATTGGTTGCCTCCCGCACGGGGCCGGGGATCGAACCTGGAACCCAGGTACATGCCCTTGACTGGGAATTGAACCTCTGACCCTTTTGCTCCTTGAGCCAAAGCTCTAACCGCTGAGCCAAACCGGCCAGGGCTGAACTAAAATTTTTTGATTCGATTTCCTAGATTCCCTCAACATGATTCATGCTGTTGGTACCCAAAGGACTCTGAGGCTGGAGGGTGTGGATCAATAGAGAAATCTTACATGGCCAACGAGACCCGGCCGCCTGCCTTTTGGCCTTCTTCTGCCACTTCCTCCCTCCCTCAAGCTCTGGGACACTGTGCTTCTGACCTTCTTTCGCCTCATACTCCCATGTGCATAATCTTGGCCCGGGCTCTTTGTTTTGCTTCGACGGCTCTTGCAGCAGCACTTGACTTAGCTAGATTCCTGATCCCTCGGACAGGTGGCACATGTCTCCCTATCACGCATGCCCACAGCCCTTGTGGCTCTTACTGCCGTGGAGTTGCCCAATTACGTGTGTCGCTGTTAGATCACCACCTGCCTCCCCTTGGACTGGGAGCCCCAGCCCAGGACACTCTCGTATGTCTGGTGAACCACTGCATGCCCAGAGCCCAGGGGGTGCCTATCATACAGACGACACCCAATAAACTACTGTTGAACAAATAAACCAGTACGTGAGCAAGTGAAGCTGGCCATGCGTGAACGCAGGATGGAAACCAACGAAGAGAGGCAAAAAGTGAGGGCAGTTGTTTTCTGTTGAATGGCACACAAGGAAAAAGCAAATGAAGCAGTGAAGAGGGAGGAGGAGGAGGAGGGAGGTGAAGCGTTTGGAAAAGCAGGAAGGAGGACAGAAGGACGACAGAGGGTGGAGGAAAGGATGGCACAGGGGAACTGTCGGGGTCGACGGACTTCTCCTGTCTGCTGGAGCGCCCACGTGCTGCGCAAAGGGCCGGACCGGTAGGTGCAGGTCCGTCACTGGGAGGGCCCGGCTGACCAGGAGGCTGGGGCAATCGGAGTTCTCTTCCTATCCCCTGTCAAACCGTCCCCTGCGTCTCTGAGGATTTTGAGTCCCAGCAAAAGGCTCAGCACTATACCACCTGAGTCCTGCCCCAATGTACCATCCTCAGACTCTTTAATGAGAAGATGAACCAATGGCCCTGGCCAGGTGGCTCAGTTAGTCAGAGTGTCATCCCAAACACTAAAAGCTTGCGGGTTCAATTCCCAGTCGTGTCACATACCTGGATTGTGGATTCGGTCCCCAGTTGGAGGCAACTGATCAATGTTTCTATCTCACATCAATGTCTCTCTCTCTCCCTCACTCCCTCTCTCTCTAAAAATCAATAAGAACATATCCTCAGGTGAGGATTGAAAAAAAGATGAAGCCATGAAAGAACTGGTAATAATGGCAGGAGACGGGGAGAGCTGACAAGCCACTCCCAGCGCACGGTGTCACCCACCAATGCCCTGACCCCTTTCCTGGCCACAGGAGGGTCGGCGCCCTAGGGGTCTGGTGTCACTCACTGCAGAACCGGCCCCCTCCCAGGGAAGGCAGTGGCGAGCTCCCTGTTCCCAACAAGGACCCCACACCACAATGAAAACCATACTCACCCGACGGGATCACATGATCTTAGTGAAACTATCTCTACAGCCCCAAAGGCAGTCAGAACTAGGAGGGGTAACAGCAGAAATGACTGCATTGGTTGTAAGAAAAACAGCCCTCCACCAGTCTCGAATGTGCACGCTCCGCGATGGCCTGCTGCGGAAGTGACCGGCGGTGCTATTTTCCCGTTCAAAATAAACAGCCTCTCTCAGGAACACTCCAGGGTCCATATCACTGAGCTAGGAACACTTAAAACTGAAAGCACGTTCATACCATTTTCTCGGTTGGAAAAGAAGAAAAGCCAAGGAGGAGTGTGCCGAAAAACATAACGAGTTGGCTGTTGTTCAGCAGTAGTTAGAATCGATTCTAAATAACAATCAAAACTTACTCTTAAAACTGGAGGATTCCTTGTGCTGGTTTTCTTCCTCTAATGAAATTAACCTTAAAAGAAATAAAAAGCAGTTTAGTAGTCTAGTTCTGAAAATATATTTATGATACAGCCCGATTTTCTGCATAATATTTATTACTGCGCGCGCGCACACACACACACACACACAGCGAATGTATAGTCATTTACACGCTGTACGTTTTTTGAAGAAGGAATACATGTGCTGGCTTTCTCCTATCCCAAGGCTGGTGAGCAGTAACATATTAACATCTGAATCTGGTTTCACCGTAAGGTACCCATTTTGTAAATATCTAGGTGGTTGGTTAAGTATAACTAAGATAGATACTTAAGTTGTCTCTTTTAAAAAACACAGCTAAAAGCAATGGGCAAGCAGGTGTTTGCTCTGCTTCCTGGTGTCACAGGACAGGACACCTCCGCAGGTTAGTTCAATCATGTGAGGCTGGGAGCAGGATCACACTCCAATGCAGATGACTGTCGACTGACTCAGCTCTTACCAGACACAGGTAAGATCACGGTAGCGACACACCACCCCCTGAGACCCAGGGGGTGCCTTGGAACCGCCCTCCTCCTATAGTGGTTCATGATTACCTGCTCGCTCTGAAAAAAATTCCTGTTAAAATTTCATTGTCATTTTAACTAGTTTCTGGGTTATCCTTTCGAGCTTTTAAAAAGGAAGTACCAAAATAAAGTAGAAGTCTGAAGTTAATTAAAACTAATCGAGATGATGTTGGGTCGTTCCCTTCTGAGTCAAGGCTCGGGCTTTGACTGTAGTAACATATCTGGTGAAAAGAAGGTGCCAGGCCTCACTCCAGGCTCTGCCTCTTACTGCACCCGGCGCGGTGGGCGTCCCTTAACCCCTCTGTGCCTCACTTCCACCACCCACACGCTGGGGAGGATGCCTGCACTCATTACATGGAAGGTTACCAAGAGAATGAGTGGAGGTCACGTAAATAAAGCACCTGGCATTGTGCTTAGTACATAGTAGGTGCTCCCTAACTGGTAGCTAGCATTATTTCTATTACCAAGAATAGGTTAAATTGCTTCCCCCATACAGACCCCTGCGGTCACATTTCTCAGCCTGCCTACAGTGAACCTCAGCTTTCGTTCTGCACTCCAGACATTTTCTAGCATTTGTTTTAAGAAAAAAGGGTGTACGTGTGTGTATCTAAAATTGGCAGCAAATATTGGAGTAGGACAAATATATATATATTTGAAACTTATTTAGAAACACAGTAAAAATATAAGGCTGCTCTGCCATAAGACTGTCCCCTACATTTTTGTGTGGAAAAGGAAGAGCAAATGGGAGGGTAATCTGTTTTGGTTTCCGGGGTCAGCCCCATTCAAGGTTAACGCCGCGTCTGCAGCCCTGACACGTCAACAGAGGAGGAGGCAGATTCGCACTCCGGCTTCAGAGCGCCGGGGAGGTTTGCACCACAGACGCGGCCCGGCTCCGCACTGAGGATGCCCGGAGGCGCCTGACAGCGTCACTCCTGCAGTCACAGCTGCCTGGAAGGAAACAGCAGGTCTGAAGGGGAGAGAACATGTCAAACCCAACACTTTCAGATGATGACACCTAAGCAGGAGATGAGTTCCGGGACGTTTCATAGGCTATGTCCTCCTCTGAGACCAAAGCCAGGGGGTTTCCCATCGAGGACAGGACCTTGTGAGCGATGGTGACAAGAGGACCAGCTCGGGTCCAGAAAGCCAGCAGAAAGCGGGGCTGAGGCCACCAGACAGGCAGCAGAGAGGACACTACCCTTTCCTGCCCCACTAAACTCCTCACGGTGTGTCCCTTCCAAGGACTCCAGAAATGGGTCTCTTACTGGGGTGAGTCCCGGTCTAGGAGACACAGATGCTGGGGGGTTGGTCTCCATTTTAACACCTCTACTCTGAGAAGTGAGGGAGTGAAGCAAGCGCCCTGGGTCCGAGGCCCCAACAGACCTGGTCGGCCAGACTGCACTGCCCTCGCCTGTGGAACAGAGGTTTGTCAAGACACGTGGCCCAGGACTTACTGACTGGGCTCCTCCGCTGTGGCCTCGGGGCGCTCCCGCTGGGCCGTCTTCTTCCTTCCTTCCTTCTCTGCCAGTTTTTTCACAGGGTCTTGTAAACTCTTGATCACGAGAAATAGGTAATAAATAAGAAAAAAAACAACAACAACAAAATGAAAGACAAAGAAAGATCATCCATAACAAATTCAGCTGCTATGGGTCAAAGCAAACCTTGACTTAGAGATTTGGGGGGGTTGGGAGGGTTACCTTGAATCAGTCAATGCATAGAACTGAAATTGTATATGTTCTCAGGCCCATCCAAGAAATACTACTAGCCTAGAAAGGAAAGATGTTTTGCCACCAGATTTATGTTTTCCTTTTTTTGTAATAAGTTATTTACAAGAAGGCCTTTTGGCTATTGCTAACTTTATTTTCCATCTTTAACATGCGGCAAAGATAAACATTCTGTCCAGCTTGCAGCCCCCACGCCGACGGCAAAGAAGCTTTTCCACCCCCAAAGATGAGACGACTGTGTTTTACTTTTAATTTTGTTTGCTATTTTGCAATCTAAAAACAGCTTTTAAAAAACAAGAGAAAACAAAACCATTAAAAAAAAAAATAGAAATCGTGGCTGAACATATTCTGACACTTTAAATCCCATGAGGGGGCAGACAGGTGCATCTAAATCTCTGTAGATTAAAAACGGGTAAGAGACTTTTGATGACGCATGATTCCTTGGAGTGACCGTCCTCAAGGTTTATTAAATATTTAAGGAAAGATTTTTTTTTTTTTAAAAAAGCAACTGCCTAAAAACTGTACATCAGAGACAAAGCCTGAAAAAGCAGAACATTTCTCTCCCAGCTGAATAATGAGCTACACAAAAAGATCTCTATTTCTGGCCCTAAGTAAAATATAAACCTAGAAACTCACGAGAGACGTCTCAGGATACTCATCCTGCTTACATTTTTAGAACTACGACCGTCCATCACGTCGCTTCTCCCGCCTCCCACCTGCCCAGCCTCCACTCCTCCAGTGGGACAACTCTCACGCAGGAAGGCGACATTTCACACGCCAGCTCTGACCGGCCAGCGGTGCTGGACCGAGGGCGGGATGGACACAGTCCGCAGGCCGGGGCTCGGCATGGCAGAGCCGTGACTGACTCTGGTGTCGGCCGTGAACACCAGATGCACACTGGTGTCACCCCTCCCGACTGCCCACTCTGGCTCACTCCCTGCACAGGCCCTCATGTTACCCTGTTTCTCAAGAACCTACCAGGTAGGGCCTTATTTCTTTCCACTTCTGATCTAAACCTCTCTGCCTCATTTTAAAGCTCTTCTACAATGTGACCCTGTCTTACTATCCCAAGTGACTTCCCACGAGCCCCCAAAGGTGAGCTTCCCGCTCAGTTAGGCCTGTCTCCGATGTACCACTCGGTGTCTTCCTCTCTCTGTTCGTCCTGCTTCTGACCAAAGAGTGCTCTACGTATCTGTCCACCCTCAGCCGCATGTCAGTCTGCGCGAAGCCCAGAGGAGTTACCACTGTTTCCAGAACGCTTCGTGTGACAAGCACGCGAAATGCAAGCAAGTCCTTCTGTCGCCAAAGCGCATTTACAGTTTTATTAACATGAGACTATGTTTATTCTGGTTTTTTTTTTTAATCCTCACCCAAGGACACTTTTCAATTTATCTTCAGACAGAGTGGGAGGGAGGGAGGGAGAGAGAGAGATCCATGTGAGAGAGGCACATCGATTAGTTGCCTCCTGCACGATCCTGACCAGAACCGCAACCAAGGTACGTGCCCTTGACCGGAATCAAACCCGCAATTCTTTGGTCTGCAGGCCAACGCTCTGACAGCTGAGCCAAACTGGCCAGGGCTATTCTGTATTGTTTTGGCCCTTAAAATATTTTTTAAATTAGAAAAACAATAGAACCATATGTAGAATGCTAGTACAATTTAAAAAAGAAAAATTACTCATAATTTCACTTCCCCCAAATAATGAGTAATTATTTTCATGTATTTCCTTTCTTTTGTTCATACTTATACTAATTCTATAGTTGGGATCTGTGTGTGTGTGTGTGTGGGGGGGGGTGTATTTTATAGACAGTATATTCCTTTAACCAATATAATTTGTGTCATCATTTCATAACCAAAAACACCTTTTTGTTCTTGTTGGTATTAATCCTCACCTGAGGATATTTTTCTATTGATTTTCAGAGAGTGGAAGGGAGGGAGGGAGGGGTTGGGGAGAGGGAGAGAGAGAGGGAGAAAGAGAGAAAGAGAGAAACATTGATGTAAGAGAGACACATCGAATGGTTGCTTCCCGCAAGTGCCCTGACTGGAGCCACGAAATCAAACTGGCAACCCCGGTACGTGCCCTTAACTGGGAATTAAGCCCGTGACTCTTCGGTGTGTGGGTCGATGCTCTAACTGCTGAGCCACACCGGCCAAGGCAAAGAAAGAAAAGAAACACTATTATAGTGAAGAATATAAAAATGGTTTTATCTATCTTACACATTTAATATTGAATTAAAGTATATAAATGTACATTTAATCATCATTATTCTAATGTAGAACCAAGGTTTTCTCATTGAATATACGTCCCGGATTAAATATCTGAAGCATTTTTCTTGCATAAACCACATCGATAAGGTATTGCCATCATTTTTAATGACTCCCTCTTTCTGGGCAGTTAGGTTAGTACACTCAGTCAACAAATAGTTTTTGAGCACCTAGGTGCTGTTTTGTATGCTAGGAATATACGAGTAAACCCCAAGATAGACAAAACCATCCGCTAGTGATGGACCTAGGCAGAGGATTAAAACAGAGAGACAGAAAGTGATTGGATCACTACTTCAGTTAGCAGGAATGTTCTCTGGGAAGTGACATTTCAACTGAGAGCTAAGTGACACGTGGAAGCCAGCCAAGTGCAGCTCCGGCAGAAGAGGGGCCCCGAGTGCAGAGGCCTGAAGGTGGGAAGAGCTGGGCTTGTCTGAGGAACAAAAAGCACGCCGCTGGGCCTGCAGGACAGCACGCAAGAGGACAAGACTTATGAGACCGGGATAAAGAGGTCAGCAGGGGTCACCCAGGGAGAACATTCCTTTACCCACATTCATCAATATTTAACATTTTGCCTCATTAGTTTCACCATATTCTTGTCCTCTTTCTCTCTAATGCATGCGGGCGAAATGGAATCCACCGCGCTCCCGGCCGGAGTGGGAAATGCTGCACGGACCAGTGCTGAACAAACGTGGAATCGGAATTCGGACTGTCGTCTAGGTGTTTGGTTTTTTAGACTATGTAGCCCAAAGCATCTGGTAAAAGTGGGGTACGTGTGTGTGTGCATGTGTGTGTGTGTGTGTAGTTTGGAAACGTACAACCTTAAGGCGGAGTTCAACAGATGTCAAGACTTACTCTTTTCAACAGATCTGCCAATCACAGCATTTTATATTCACACACACACACACACACACCCTTGGTGCGGTTTCGCTTCCCAAAGAGTGGTCCAACCCTGGTCAAAGAAAAGACGGGAGTTTTTCCAGCCAAGGTTCCAATGGCTCCAAGACTCACTTTTTGATTCTGTGACACTGGCCCCGGCCTCCTGCTTTGCTCGATTATCTTTTCGCTGCATTTCCTTTTCATCCCGCAGAACGAGGCCGGGCCAGGACACAGCAGCTCCCGGCCGGGCTGTGTCCAGCTGCCAGGGCGCTCGCCTAAGCCCCTGAGATGCCCTTGACAGCTCCACGGTTATCATCCCCCCTGTCTGCAGCCTGACCCCCTCACAACCACACTTGAACAGCTCTCAGACAATCCCTTTGTAATGTAAACCACTCCTTCCTTCTTTTCAACCCTTCCCCTGTTTGGCCATTAGCAGGGACTCAATTGTCGGCTCCTGTCACCACAATCACAGTTAAATAACTATTGTGCTTCACCAGCAGAATGGCTGCCATTCCAATCACCACTTTAATTTATTATTAATAATTCCTGTGACAAATGCTCCTGTCGTCCTGCTATTACCATTGTCCCTTCAATAATCTGGCTGTTGCCACTTTAAAGAGATGCTAAGTATGTACTTGTTGATTGATAAACTAATGTACATAAGGTTACACTGCAAAAATGAGAGCTCTTTAACTAGGAAATTCAAAGGCTCAGGAGAGTAATGTAAAAAGGTTTATAAAACCACAAGCAAAAAATAATACCCAGCTCATGGGATTGTTTACTAAATATTAGAATTCTGAACCAAGGGGAATTGCGTGTGCACACACAGAGCGGCGTTCCTAAGATATCGTTCCACAGAACTCGCCCGTTTACACTAGACAATGCAGTGATTTTTAGTCTAGTCGCAGAGTTAAGCAACTGTCACCACAATCAATTTCAGAGCATGTGCAAGGGGCATCTCTTAAAGTAAGAGTTTTAGATCAACCAAGCTAAACACTTTTCTATATAGCAGAGGGGAAAAACCCCCCACAACAACGCATATGGAACTCGTTTCTTACAAAGATGGTATACATTGAAGAGATGAGAGGCTTAGAGGAACTCTGAAACATCACAGAGGACAAATCATGTCCCCTTTCCTCTCTCAAAATTAGCCCCTGGATGTGACTGTCAGATACAGGATATGCTACACGGAGGACTCTCCCCAAGGTTTCATTAAAATGCCTAACTGGGGGCTGGGGTGGAGGCGAATTCTTTAAAGTCCACAACTCAGCTGAAAACACTTAACCCTGTAGCATCCATGCAAGTCAGAGGTGATAGCACTTTCTTTGTGACATGCACACCTGCTCAGGCATAATGAATCTAAGAGGCTCGACTGACTGCAGAGGAGGCAGCCATCAGATGGAACTATTTTGTATCACGGGCTGATGGAAGCCACATTCAAATCCATGTCCAGAAACGAAATGTCAAAGCATTCTGTTTCTAACCCCCACACCCGCTAGGTCCTCCATTAAAATTGCTCGTGAAAATCACCACTATCAGCAGCCACACAGCATCAGACGAAACTGCAAAGTTCTCTGCAGAGGAAAGAATGTTTTTGGATGAAGGAACCTTTCTCTGTTTAGGCTCCACTGACACGCTAATAGTTTCCATCAATGCTTAAACGGTTTCAGGAAGCACACACGCGATA